CCACACAGATTTAAGCGTAGACCGTTAATATGTGGAGTCACGTGCATGTTTTCTGAAGGGCTATTAACACGAGGAGGGATTTTGGTGGAAATTGAAACACGTTTCGTGAATATATTAAATTATAAAAAACTAGAGTGGGCCTGCCACAGTAATGCTGACGTAGTTCACTTGATAAATGGATGCAAAAGAAGGCGTGAAAGCGGTCACACCATTCGCGAAATCGCTTATCCTATCAAGCGCTCCAAGGACACAGTGAGCCGTGTTATCCGCGAGGGTATCCGAGCCACTAAGGGCAAGGGACCGAAGAAGACCAAGCCGCGAGGAAGACCTCCCCGTGCTATCGCTCCGTGAAGTTCGTCGTGTCATCCGGCTCGCTGGGACCGGATCCTACACATCTGCGCAGCTCAAGTCCCGCACCGAGACTAAGGCATCAGCTCGCAGCCTTCGCCGGCTTCTTTCCCGTGTAGACTATCTAGTATACACAAAAATGGAGAGCACGTTAGACTTGTCACCTGCTCACAAAGCTGTCCGACTGGACTGGGCAAAAGTCATGATTACGCGCGACTGGACTGACGTCGTCTTCAGCGACAAGAAAAAATTTAATCTCGACGGGCCGGATGGCTACAAGTCGTACTGGCGTGACTTGCGTCACCCGGTCCGAAAATATGTCAAGCGTCAGCAGGGGGGGGGTTAGTGATGGTATGGCAGCATTTAGTATCGAGGGGAAGAGTGAGATTGCGGTGCTGATGGGTAAGCAGAATTCTGCTAAATACGTCTACACGTTATCTGAATTCCTGTTACCGATTGCCCACCTGCACCATGACATTGACTTTGTTTTTCAGCAAGACAACGCGAGTATTCACACTTCTCGCGAAACTCGCACTTTCTTTGAAGAAGCGCAAATAGAAGTGATGAATTGGCCTGCGAGGTCTCCGGATCTTAATCCTATTGAGAATCTCTGGGCTATTTTATCACAGGAGGTCTATCAAGACAGTTGTCAGTTCAGCACGACACAAGAGCTCACCATGGCCATCGTTGCAGCCTGGGCCAAAATTCCGCATAAAACATTGAAGTCCCTGATCTCCTCAATGCCTCGCCGCTACATTGAAGATATCGAGCGTCGAGGAAACAAGACAAGCTACTAGGCTAGCTATGTTCTAGTCATACTGACAATCATTATGATATGAAATAAAGTATGCCCTTTTGTCCGAACAATTTTGACCCTCTACGAAAAAATTAACCTGTATGGGAGGCCATCGAAGGCCTTCGAATTCGCAAATATTTACACATGCCTGCTATTTGCTATTCTGATCGACTATTCACATCTAAATAGCAAGCGCTAATTTGATCTACAGCCAAAGTTATCGTAATTTTCTGGTGTCCGAAAATTTATGGCCAGGACTTTAGTTCGAGCACTGAAGTACTCAAGTATAGGGTAAACAAATGCAACCATAATAAAATAGGATTCTAAAGTTGATTTTCGCCTTAGGAGCTTTCTGCAGATGCAGATGCATTTCCTTCTCTTCAACTCTTGCAAATGAAGCTATAAAACAAACCATCATAGATTAAGTTTTTTTAATATCGTAGCGCTTTGTGGAGGCTAACTTATTCTTCACTGATAATATTTTCGTTTGATATGTAGCAGCTTCGTGTTGGTGGCCTCCCTTTCCAGAATGTTTTAGATGTTGGTTTGAACTACCTTCATGTGCCAGTAACATTGACGATGACTCGACATTAGTATGCTTTCTCTACGAAGCACGAACTCCGGTCAGTCGGAGTTGAGTGCATGTAAATTGTCTGAGGGTCTTACATGTACATTACGTCCATGAAGTTGTAGCCACATAAAATCCAGAGCAGTTCCGTGCGAAGGGGCGGCTTTGTGGTAATTTTGAAATCATTGAGTTTTTTATAATTGATAGTCTTTTGGTTTTAAATTGAAAAAGTAATGTGCTCTCAAAGATTCTAATGCAGAGTCCATCCAGCGATCGTACTGGCCCACAAGTCTTCATACATCACATACCTTACAGAATTTTCCGACCAATGGCGGTAATCAGAGCGTCAAATATGCTGGCATACCCACGATCGATGTAGCAGAGTTGGAGTAGGTTTCGATAGAGGACACCATTAGGGGAGCTGGCACTTCCTGAGCATTTATGCCGATTGTATTCCTCACAACAGAGTGAAATCTAAAGTAAAGTCAGTCTAAGCTAACACAATGTTCCTACCAGCCCTGGTGAGATAGCCAGTTATTCCACGTGGTGAAAGCGCCGAGTGAACGACGAAGTGCATGAATTTTAATAGACCCTGGAGGCCAAGGCAACGCGAGACTCAAGGCAATAGGTGCTCTATCCGACTCCCTGAACATCTCAACACCGGAGATGCTTCATAAAACGCTTCACGAGGCCCTAACGCATAAACGTCAACGAGAACTGCCAAGTACTATTCAAGTAACTTTACAAGGAACGACGTCTTCGACATCAAGAATAAAAACAATCAGGCTTCTCGAAGGATTCAACGCGCACAAATGGCACATCACTACTATAAGGGAAGTCGCACTCGCTCAGAAATTGATAAAGTTCTCCTACTAAGGAATACTGCCAGTCGGCATTTTCGAGATTGAAAATCTCCCGATTATACTACAAGAATATTTAAGACAACGCTGTTTGAGAAAAACTAGCTCAAGATACAACGTTTCTATTAGGCGTAGACGACAGAGTCTTCAGTTAATTCAACATAAATAGAGGATCTCTGAACAATAAATCATATCCCTACAGATGCCGATCGATCAAAGTTGAAGAACGTGTCAGAACGTATATATTAGCGTATAACCCCTTCGATAAGTATATGATCTGTGATGTTGACCCATCCGCCCAAGATTAGCATACATTCCCTTCTATATTACCTGCTATATTTAAACAATCCATCACATTAAAGTAACATGCACCACAAAAATCAAATTCAGCAACGAACAGATGTGTTAATAGAATTGAACAGCATCCAACCCAAAAACACATACAGAGCAATATTACTAACAAAATAATCTGAAATACTCGGTCAATCGTCCACATCACGCGCAGATGCTGCAGCTGCAAGTAGATGTGGAGATGCGAGGAGATACAGTTTTGCTTGAGTAAATTGTTATGTGTTCCGCGAATCCTGTCAATTTTTTTTAAAAAAAAAAAAAAAAAAAAAAAAGCGCTTGCTCAACTCGAAGTTTTTTTTAGTGTAGCTTTAAATTATGAATACATTTATATAAAGAAGGAAATAAATACATTTGGAATTGACATAGGACTAATGGTTGGGTAGTGATTACATGTCCATTCCATCGCGAATATTGGCGTGCATGTGCTGTGTTGAGTTTATCCCTGTATATTTTTACAGGCCGAAATATGTCAAATGCTGATGGTGTCAGTATCTTTGCCAGAAGTTTGCAATAGAAATGGCGATTTTTTCTAAAAATGAGAATTAGTTTATGACTCTAGATATTACCTTTGTAGACCGGCGAGCTACGGAAGAACTCAATTTCGTGTTCCCCTAGCTACGAGAAGGGACTAATAAAGGATTCTTTAAACCTTATTAAAAGTAAAATCCAGATTTGTTCCGGGTACCATTACTTCCTTCCATCTGTTAGATTATGGAGTTTTCAGTGACTTCAATGCATAGCCCGAATCTATCACCGAGTGATCAAGCAACCGGCGTGGCCTCCGAAATCCAGTAGTTTTCTTCAGTTGCCGTATACCACGTACATGACAGCGCATGAGTAAGTGTTCCGTGCTCTGGGTGCATCCACCAGCGCAGTAGAAGGATGTTGAAAGTGCGTAGGAATTTTGGTGGGAACAGTCGAGCCAGTAGCAGGAGCACCACAGACGGAGCCTGGTACACATGCTTGCCGTAAAACAAGTAACCCGTAAGTAGAAGTGCCTCCACACTCGTACATCGCTTGTTCATGAACGTTACGTAAGCGAAATCGTCGCAGTCCATGAAAAGCTTGCTAAACTCGGAGCCTAGGCAGAATTCCTCGAATGTCGTACGAGTTGTTGTGATTTGGTGATCTACGGGCCCCACTCGCTTGTGTTTCCCTAGGAGAACAAAGCGAGCACGCGGTATGATCGCAATGTGAGGCGTCTGACCTTGGGATACTCTCTCTAACGCAGTCTTGGGTTTATTAAACCTCTTTACGGGACTTTCGAGTTTGATGAAAGATAAGGTTTGACTGAAATGTGTCCACGGACTGCTGTGCTTTTGCACCATGTATGAAGCTGACAAGGCGATGAGTCCCAGTAAAGTCGAGCCAATTACAGCCATGATTGCTAGATTAAGCTGCATGACGATACAGGAATCGTGTAAACCGCAGTATTTGGCTCCTTCTATTGTGGTTTTACGGAGTAATTTACCGTTATAGTCGACAATCCACGGTAACGACGTCAGATACGAGGAATACAATACGCAAGCCACTCCAGTCGTAATGACCACTTGCATGATCTCCCATGTAAGTCGGAAGTGTCGATCGAGTTTCTGTACTCCGGATCGAGCTTTTAGCAGGTTAATGAATGCATACGAGAAGGCAAAAAAGCTGAACGTGAGATTCGCTAAAGACTCCACTGTAAGGGTACCCGTAACGAGCCCTAAATAATACGTATCCGAGTTACGGGCCAAATGATACGTAACTTGCCCAAGATAGAATACTTGCATTCTCCCATTCTGACAGCGATACGCCCAAATCTGAGTGAGCAGCACTGATCTCTTGTGGGACATAATCTGGTACAAACTGATCAGCCCCATGAGCAGCATTTGAAGCACCACCATCCCAGGAAGAACGCTTAGAGCGACAGTGTCAGCATAGCGATTACGGAATACGCTAATCTTCATTAGAGCACGTCCAGGAGTGTCATCGGTACCAGTAACCCATTCCCACAACGAATTATAGTAATTGCGAATACAGATACTCGATGTTCCGGTACTACACACTGGAATATCATCAGGAGCTTGCAACATGAGTCCGTAATTCTGCCATCGCTTGGATAAAGTGCACGTATCTTCGACATAAATCCCAGTCCTATTTACAGTGCGTACTCGACACCCACCGTAATACGCTCTAAACAGCGACTGTATGACGGTCTTGGCGCGGTAAACGGTTGGACTAGACGTGGCAACAACTCGAGAAACTCGTGGGATACTACTAGTAAAGCCGTACGGGAACAACTTGAGTAAATCTGGTACAACCAGCACTGGATCTTCCCCTCCAGTCGCTAACGCTAACTTTTCCCCTATTACATATTGATACGGGACTTCAGATCTACATTCCGTATACTCCGGGAATACGTTAAAGTCCGCAGCAGGGATAGAGGAATAGCCTACGCTGTTCTTAACAGCTTGGAATTTAAACAGCCGAAGATGGCTCTCGACTGCCCACTTGGTCACACATTCGTTTTTGAGTTCAATACCTTTCTTCGCTTCCAATAGCTGTTCTGGTGATACAGAAAGTTTTAAAGTTTCAATTATTTCAACAATTTCTTCCGCTTCCCCCGTGATAATTGACAATGGAGATCCCCATTCATCCACTCCACCGGAACAGGTGGCTCCACTCGCCTCGAGTCTTGCGGCTAAAGCCAGTCCTTCGGCACCGATTAGACTGTAATCCCGGGACGTGGCTGTATACAGGTCTTCGAAAGTGGGTTTACTCATTAAAGCTTCGTGGTGAAATGTGGCCATTTGATGTAAAACCTTTTTACACTCGATATGACACGGTGTGCAGCCTCCAGACATGACCAGGTCCATCTCACTAAAGGCAAAATAGCTGTCTTTCGCTTCGATTAAAAACGTCCCAGTTGTGAGATAATCCGTGAAAATAAACACAAACAACACCATTAAAGGCGCCACGAAAATTCTTCCAAAAATCGCGAGACAGGCACCAATTGAAGCAGGGCGAATCTGACGATACCATCGCTCGCTCCGTCTTCTTCTCTCTCGTTCTTGTTCGTAGTAAGCCACTGACCACGTCGACTCCGTTCGCTGGGGTTGAATTGTATTGGTCTGTCGCCATGCTTTGACCTTAGCGAAAGACTCCCGTAGAAAAGAAAGCTTCAGTGCTGTAACCCAAATGGGTGGAGTATTCGGGAAGGAATGCCGTCGTATTTGTGGTTTTAGTGAAATCACGGAGAGAGACCTGCGTACAAATGCCTTCATTTGCGGTAAAACGTCAGTATTTGGAGAGCTCTTGATCTCCGTCTTGAATGGAATCAGCTTGGAGCTTCGCCTGGGTGACCGTCGTAATAAGGATGATATGTGTTTTTCTGCATCAAGTAAAGAAGAGGAAAATGGGACTGCTCGAGCGGAGCCTTCGGCAGACCTCTGGAAAAAAGAAGAGCGTACAAATGAGCGCGAGTCGCCTGATGTTCTAGTTGCAGATTGCGTCCAGGCCATTTATCTCCACGAAGACCACAATAAAGACTTCAGAGGATATCTGGCACCCGTTGAAGGCAAAAATAGGAACGTAACAGCACCAAAAAAAAATACGCCACAAGTATTCACTTACAGATTTGTTTTCAAACGAGCGTATCATTTCCTATTAACAGTGAGATTTTACAAAAATTCATGTGTTTATTGAGAAACTAGGCTATTGGGGTTGCTTCAGATATCTTGTAGTTCTCTGCACTAGCAGCGAACCACGTGCAGGATAAGGCATGAGTCAGCGTCCCGTTTTCTGGATCCATATACCATCGGATGAGAAGCACATTAAAAGTGCGAAGTAATTTACGAGGAATGAGTCGAGCTAGAAGCAATAACACCACTGATCCAGCCTGGTACACGTGTTGGCCGTAGAACAAATATCCTGTCAGCAATATAGCCTCCACACTCGTGCATCGCTTGCCCATATACTGAATACAAGCGAAATCGTCGCAGTCTTTGAATAACCTCGTAAATGGTGATCCAAGACAGTGTTCCTCGAACGTCGTGAGTGGTGGAAATTCGATTAGTTCTTTCGATTCTTCCTTTTTAACCTCCACCAGGTTGGTCGATTTGCTGTTATGAACCATGTATCGATTGGCTCCTTTAGCAACAATCGTCACTTTCTTGGATGATTTCGGTGAGGATGGAGCGTTCGATCCATAGCGCTTCTGGACGAAATAAGAAGCCGACAAAGCCACGAGTCCCAATGCTGTCGAGATAACAGCAACTAAAACAGCCAAGTTAACATTCATGAGGAAGCACGAGTCGTGGAGACCGCAGTATTTCTTGCCCAAAGTCGTCGTCTTCCGCAGTAATTGCCCGTTATAGTCTACGATCCAACTCAACGATTTGGACCGGATAGAGTACAGCAGCACTGCCACTGCAGTCGTGATAATGATTTGCATAGTTTCCCAGGTTAATCGGAAGTACCGATCCAGCTGCTGTTCTCCTGATCGAGCCTTGGCCAGATTGATGAATGAATAAGAGAAAATGAAGAAACTAAACGTGAGATTGGCTACAGACTCGATCGTTAACGTGCCTGTAACCAGCCCCACATAGTACAAATCCGAGTTGTAGATTAAATGGTACGTGATCTGCGCGAGGTAAAGCACTTGCATGCGTCCGTTCTGGCATCGATAGGCCCAGATCTGCGTCAAAAGTACCGACTGTTTGTGCGACATAATTTGGTACAAACTGATGATCCCCATTAACATCATCTGTACCATGACCATGCCGGGTAATACACTAAGTGCCACCGTATCTGCGTATCGATTACGGAACACGCTAATCTTCATCAATGCACGTCCTGGTGTCTCGTCCGTGCCCGTAACCCATTCCCAGAGTGAGTTATAGTAGTTGTGGATACAGATACTGTCACTACCGGTTGTACACGCTGGGATATCGTCCGGGGCTTGGAGCATAAGTCCATAATTCGCCCAATGTTTGACAACGTTACAGGTATCTTCGATGTAAACTCCCGTCGTGTTGACTGCGCGTACTCGACACCCTCCATAGTACCCTCGAAATAGTGACTGGTTCACGTGTTTTACGTTATAAATCGTAGGACTCGTAGTGGCCAATGTCCGCGGAATTACAGGTAAACTGCTCTTAAAACTGAAGGGAAACAGCTTGAGAATATCCGGAACCACAGCAACCAAATCTTCTCCTGCAGTCGACAAAGCCAACTTCTCTCCAATAACTCCTTCATTATTTACTGCAGGACGACAGTCCGCATATTCCGGATAAGCGTTAAAGTCTGCCGCTGGGATGGAGGAATAGTCGATGCTGTTCTTAACTGCCTGGAACATAAAGAGTCTCAAATGGCCTTCAACGGCCCATTTTGTGATACATTCGTCCTTGGTCTCAATGCCTTTCCTAGCTTCGGCAAGTTCCAGTGGAGTCACGGACAGATTCAACGTCTCGATGATCTCGACTACTTCTGCTGCCGTGCCAGTGATAATTGAGAGCGGGGACCCCCATTCATCGACGCCACCGGAACAGATAGCGCCACTAGCTTCTAGACGATCAGCAAGAGCCAGCGCTTCGGAGCTGAGTATACTGTAGTCCCAGGATGTAGTGGTGTACAGATCCTCGAATGTAGGTTTACTCATAAGCGCTTCGTGATCGAAAGTCGCCATTTGATGCAGCACTCGCTTGCAGTAAGTATGACACGGTGTGCATCCTCCAGACATGACGAGATCCATTTGACTGTAGGCGAAGTAGCTGTCCTTGTACTCGATGAGGAACGTGCCGTCCGAGAGGTACCCGGTTACGCCAAAGACCGTCAGAAGCATCGCTGGCATGAGCACAATGCGTCCGAACACGGCGACAGCAGCACCGATAGCTGCCGGTCGCATTTTACTCGTTAGTTTCTGCTTTCCTTTCAACGCCTTCTGCTGCTCGAAGTAGTGAGCTGACCATGTGGACATGGACCGATCGGGTATAGACTTCTGACATTCCTGTGGAGACATACTGGTAATCTACGCTGCCACGTGCGGAGTCCAACCGAAGTTGAAATGGACAGCAAAGGCTCGAGGTTCCTCGATTATTTTCAGGCTATTATGTAGCATCCCATAGTGCTGTTAGGTTTCTTCCCAGAAATGACGTAAGAAAACCTGTGTACGCAGTTTTTTTGCAGCATAACGTCTACTATAATCAGAGTGCTGTCTTGTTCCGCTAACTAAAAATATATGTTAGCTCCCATCCAAAGTAAAGTGTAAAGCTACGAGTTGATGGACAACGTAAGTGTATATTCAGTCATGACTATACTCAATGAAGACACATTTACGTAGCAGTGATTGTGGTGGCTGTGGCGAGTGCAGGACTTTCTCCTAGAGTGCTGCTACTCGCAACAACCCGAACTGCGTATTCTCGTCCCGGAATCAAGTCTCGGATCGTATGGGCACGTAGTTCGAAGCGCGAGATTCGCCAGGCCTTGGCTTCGTAAGTCACCGGGAGCTCACATGCACTGCGGCCAGGATCGTTGGGATCTACAGTGATAACGTTGCCACTTTTGCTCAGCACCTTCATCACGCAGCGTAGTGTTGTGCTTGAAGTACTTGAAGTGGGGCTGTCGGCGACGATGAAGTAGTCACCAGTGGACAAGGCCACGGAGGTCGTCACAGTCAACTTGCCGTTTCCTGAGTCGTCTATTGTGAGTTTCTGCGCGCAGGACTCGCACAATACCGGTCGAGCGAGATCTGCGCTCTCAAACACGCCACTCTTCGCTGCGAGGCTCAGGATCTCTGGCTTGAACGCGTTCGCGGTCGCCGTTGCGGCGTCAACGGTCTGGCGGGCGATGGGACCTGCCAGAGCAGCCGAACACTCGTTGTTAAAGACGTTGTTGGCATCAAAGCCAATGCGTCCCTGCCCACGCTTGGCATCGAGTCCCGGGCCGTATGTTGTACGTTGCGCAACAACCGAGTCGGGCGGCGAGGCCGTACAGGTTGCATCGGCGGCGTCCCAGTACAACAGCGGGATGTCGACCGGAGACGTGGCCATGGCGGTATTCTCTGCGGCGTCATAGCCCACAGAAGGAACCGCGACGGACTGGGGGAACGTGACCGTGTATGTGCGACCGTAGTCGTACGTCGCCGAGTCATCTCCCTGCATCACCGCCGTGCCGCCAGCATATACGCCTCCAAGCGCCCGCATCGGTGTCTGCAGTGACGTCACCAGGTTCGCCGGGTCCACGCATCCGACCTTAGTGCCTCCGTTCGCTGTTTGCACTGTGAATTTCTTGTTGGCGACGTTGGCCACTGCGTTCGTTACCACGAGCGTCTGTGTCTCGATGTTCTCTCCACATTGACTTGAAAACCCAGCACCGTGATCCCATTCCACGCGATATTGATCCGTGTTGCTGTCGTCACTCCGCGGAGCGGTCCACACCGCGAGCATTCCGTGTGAATAATCAATCATCTTTGCCTTCACGCGCAGAGATCGCGGGGCGGTCGGAGGACGCGCCACCAGTAGCAAATCGGCGGCGTCCGTCGCCTCCTGGAACGGCCCAAAGCCCACGCTGTTGTACGCTGCGACGCGTGCGTGGTACGTCCCGGCAGCAAGCCCGTCGATCACGTACGCGAACGGTAGTCTTCCGACATGCAGCTGGGCTCGACCCTTGCGTTGCTCCTTGATCGTGACGCCAACTCCATTCTTGGTCGTAGCAACAATCGGTGGCATGTCGCCTTGTGCCGTGGTGAACTCGATCGTAAGGCCTTTAGCCGTTGCACTCGCAGAGCACACCGTCGTCTGCGCTGTGTTTCGGAAGCGGACGTTCACGATTCCAACGACACCCAGGGCAGTGATTGCCGTAGCCAGCGCCTGCGCGTTTGCCGTTCCCAGGATCAAGCCTGTCTCGAATTCGAGTATCGTTAACTTGAAGCTCATCGTAGCATCCACAGCGACATTACCCGTGGAGATGCACACCAGGTGCTGCAGTTCAGGCGTAGCATCTACAGCCGCGCGTGGGGCTACAATCGTTGGAAGATGCGGCACACAGCTGATCTGCTCGGCCGTCGTGCACGCCAACAGGTTCGTCCCAGACACTTCCAGCTTATAGCCGAACGGGGACTGCGTAGCGAGCGCTGACCTCCATCTCTTGTGCTGGTTTCCGCCGTATTTGCGCTGCAAAAAAGTCACGAGCCACGTGTATCCGCCGGCCGTCAGCTCGCGGTTCACCAAGACGTTTTCAATCGTAGACAGCGCTACAAGCGCCTTCTGCATGTCCACAGCCGAGATATCATACGAGAGTTCGGGGCTCCATTGACCGTCAAACCCCACGCGGAATGTACCAGACAGATGCGTATTTGTGCCTGCAGTTGGGGCCGAGACTGTAATCGTAGCAACGTCGTCCGTCACACTCTGAGACGCCGCCTCAAGTGCGTGAACCACCGCAAACGGCTTAGCAGCAGTGGCGAGAGCACCATCTAGCCACCATTCCACACGGAACTCGGTCACGGGCTCTCCGCCGTCGTGTACTGGCGCATCCCACTGAACGAGAACTTGAGATCCAGACAAGACGTCAGCGCGTGCGAGGCGGACGACATCGGGTACTTGATCTGCGAGTTGAATCGATACAGGTGTAGGTACAGCTGTGTCGCCCCACCCGTCTGCGTTGTGAGCACGCACGCGCGTGTAGATAGACACTCCACCGCCGCTAACCAATGATTTCATGTCCACTTCAAGACGCTGGAACGGGGTCACGCTGATCGCCGGAGACTGCACAGCCTGTAACGCGAGGCCGTTCGCTACCAGCGCCGGGAACACGCGCGACTCCATGTCCATCGCAGGAGACGGGAACTCAACGAACGTGACGCGCCAGTCGTAGCCGTGCTTGTTCACTTGGCGATCCACATCCGCGTTGGTTACGATACTCAGCGTCTCTAGCGCAGCCTTAACGTCTTCATCACTAGCGTCAAAGGGAATTGAGGGGGTAGTTGGTGCCTGATAAACAGTAACGAAGCTGTTCTGGTCACGCTGTACTGCCGGTACGCCGGCCGTGCCGCCGACATATGCGCTGCAGCCGTTGATCCCCACGTCCAGAATCCGTAGCGTCGGCACCTTGCCACGCACTTGCACACCCATGAACTCCACCGTGTACTCCACCGTCACGCGGACGCCAGACGTCTCTGTGAGAGCACGTTTTACACGGACGTCATCAATTCCGGCAAAGTTCTCGAGCTCGTGTTCCAGAGTCAACATATCTCGAGACGCATCACTCGCAAGCGGACCCGAAGCCCACACCAGACACCCCACGTCATCGTTTAGTGAAGCGCCACCGTCGCCCCCTGTGCCTAGTGTTAAAGAGCTCACTTCGTCGCCGAATTGGACACGGAACCCGCCGGTGTTGTAGGTCACAGCAGCGCCAGTGACTGTCAACACGATCCGTTGAATCTCTCGAGTAGCGCCGCCGTGAAGCAGGTCAAGTCTTGGTGCTAGACTCACGGCAACGGTCGGATCTATCAGACTTCCTAGCTTTAACCGTGTGACAGCTGAACGAGCGCAGTCGCATCCATTGGTATCACACTTGCTGCGTACACGGAATGTCGCTAGCGCTTCGAGATCCTCAGCTTCGAGTCCATCATTTGGCGCTCTGCCTAGACGAATGTAGTCCCCGCAATTAATCTTCATCTCGTCCACTAATGTCACCTCAGCGCTGCTTCCGATCGTGCCCAATTCAGTCGCTGTACTCACAGCCGAGTCGCTCCGAAAAACAGGTAAAGGCTCACGTCCTCCTGATGCGTCAAGGTTGGACACTAGCAATGCGATACTCGAAGCGTCGAGTGCTTTCCACGGATCGTCACCCTCGCATAACGGTAGCAACGCCGGCCCGCGATGCACGAAGATGTTTGGGTTTCCAGTACCCAATTTTGTAGCTGCTTCGGCGCAATTGTGGTCAAGTTTTAACGTCATAGTGGTAGCTGCCGTCACTCTGGCACGACACGTCGCAGCAGCTTCGGGTGTTGATCCGATAGATATTCGAGTGTCCACCACTACAATATCCACAAGACGGTTGTCCAGTGCCGTGGACAGCGTTATCGTGTCCGTATTGGCATCGTACGACGCACTGGTGATTGGCGCGACGCCTTTCACCACGAAGATTGACAGTCCGTTTGCTAGTTTCGAGACAGGGTTGGCACAGGAATGCTTGATATCCACGTGCAGTTTGTCAGCATTCACCGCCGTCACGACGGCCTGGCAGGCTGCGGGATCTGCTGGACCGTTTGCAGCCGCACCAACGGCAATCTGAGTGCCTACAACGATCACCGCCTGAAGTGCTGTACTCAGTGCCGCCGATAGCGTGATGGTTGCTCCGCTGTACCCGGCGATAGTGAGACCCGTGTCGGTGGTTCGTAGCTGCCACGCCACGCTGCCGTCGAGACAGACGCTGGCTTCTTCGTTGCGAATACGTACGCGTTCTCCTCGCGAGAAGGAGTTGTGCAAGGAAGCAGCGCCGTAACCTTGGGTGATGTCCGGTTTGAGTCGCAGAAGGAAGGCAGAACCAGCTGTAAGCGCCTGTGCAGAAGCTAACGCGTCCACTTGTTTGGTCATCCTGCCGTGGAAAGACCGTGCGTCCACGGCTGCTAAAGAAAATGTACTGCCGGCGAGGAACGGGCCAGTGTGGGCGGTTGTAGTCACACGTGCGTACTTGGTCGTTGGAGGTACATCCAGCACAACACTTGGATCCGCGAACTTGGAGTTCAAAGCCGCTCCGACGCGATAGCCGTCCACGTCACGTCCTCCTGACGTCTGCACCTGGTCGAATGAGAACTCCAAAAGTTGAGGTGATAGAGGACGAACCGCCACGTTTTCCAGCGCGAGCGGGGATCTCGTGGGCGCTACACCGGTAGCTGAAGCCAGAGTAAAGACGCCAACTCCGCGTTCATTTGCTGCCGCCACTCGCACAAAGTAGATCGCCCCCGTAACGAGTTGAGGGATGCTGTACATGACGAGACCATCATCCGATGCAGCAGTTGCACTTACGACGGCCGAACCGAAAGCCTGTGGGGCCTGTCCAGCAGCGATGCTTGTCACTGCGACATTTGCATCGGCTCCAACTCCGTTCGGGGTTAAAAGCCGATCGTTTGCTGTGAGTAGAGGGAACGCCGGGTTCGTCCGCGGCACCTGCGACGTGAACGTCACAGTCCACTCGTACTTGTTTGCACCAACTGACAGGCGCTCAACGCGCACCAAGCCGACGCTTGGCAACAGCTCCAAAGCCTCCTGCATATCTGAAGGAGTCACATCCATCGGCAATGGCGTCGTGCGCCATTGTGTGTACAATTTCGCGCCGAACACCGTGTCTCCAGCGTACGTAGTTGCTGACGCGCCCAGGTCCTTGGCTAGCGTTCCAACAGCTTGGTATCCCGTCGCATCGGCTAGAGGGAGTTGCGAAGCTGTGAACGAACCTGTCGCCGATATCAAGTACGCCTGCTTGTTGATAAACACCACGTCTCCCACGGCTAACAATCCGGTCAGGTCTTCACTTGTCTTCAAGAACGAAGCGCCATGTTCCACGTCCACGGTTCCCGGTAGCATACGCCACGGATACAGGTCACTGCCGTCTCCGAATGACAGCATAAAGTAACCTCCAGTGATCGTACCAATCGACTTGACCAGCTGAACCACGGGAGCACCGAACAACGGCTCCGTCACGGCTTGTTGGTACCATTCTACCTGGTACAGCTGGACATCCGCTGAAGCTTCAGGCCACGACACCATCAACGCTGTTCCAGGAGACTGAGCCGACAGATCATTTACAACAGTTACTAAGCTTAGAGCACCCGGTTTTCCTCGAGGCATCTCTCGCGCTGGTTGCGTCAGCACGGGTACGCCCGCCCCAACCTTGCCGTTCTCAGCGAATATGCGGACATACGTCCACTGTCGCGTTGGCAGTCCTTCGAGAGTATACCGAAAGGCTCCGTCTGCAGCAGCTACCAACGTACTAGCTGCTACCGTCACTTGGGCAAGTGCGTCGCCGTTTGATCCGCTGTCAAACTCCGGAGACGGATCCCATTCAATCATGTAGCCTGTGACGGGTGCTCCTCCAGTGAACTTGGGAGCGGCGTAACTGATCATCAGAGACGTAGGCCCAGCAAGCGTAAGAATCGGCGGCGCTAGCATGTTGAACGGGGATCTGGGAGCAGACGGCGGCTCGAACGGCACACTCAGCGACCGAGGAGCTGTAACCCGTCGCGGTCCGTAACCCAGTGCGTTATACGCCCCCACACGGGCGTAGTACCTGTTGCCAGGGGTAAGTCCCTTGATAATGTACTCGTACGGAACCGGTGTGGTTTTAGCGTCCACGACGACCACGCCACAGTTGGTTCGTCCACTCACCGGTACGTTGTTGACTGTTGAAGGGCAATACGTGGCTCCGTTCAGGCTTCCAACTTGGGTACCGCCAGTCACCGTAAGCGTAGCTTTTCCGCCTGCAGCGGATAGCCGACTCGTGTACGTCAAAGCTGGCACGACGTCCAACTCGCTCAGGAACGTGATCGTCCAGGTACACTGGTTCTTGGTCGAACAGCTGTCGCGCGTCACAGTCACGTCGCCGACATTGGGCAGATTCTCCAGTTCTCGTGCCATATCATCATCGGACGCGGACGCGCTCAGTGCTGACGTGCTGAAGATGCCTTGGATCTGGCAGTACGTACAGGTTGTCGTGTCCAATGTAAGCACGAACGAGCCGGCTACACTGCCACTGGAATCTGATGCTGTGCTAATCGTTTGGACTTGAGAAATGGTGTTCGCGAACTCCGTGTCGATCCATTCAACAAGATACTTGGTTACGGGCGAGCCACCATTACCGTTGAGATCCGCTTGTGAGATCGTGGGCGGTGGGAACGACACGCGCAGCGAACTCACGCGCACGTCCGGATCATCTTCATCGTCGGGCGTTAGCGCAGATAGAATAACGTACGGAGACGGCGGTGGGTCACTCGAAGTGATCGGAGCAACCGCAATACTATCACATGGAGCGCCGTAACCCATCGAGGTGTGAGCCGTCACGCGAATGTGCGTGGTTGCCCCCATCGCGAGGCCTGTTGTTAGCTGATAGTCGTACGTTTCCTGAGCGTCGAGCGCGACCGTCTTCCCTGTAAAGTCTCCACATCCGTGTCCTCCTACAACGGTGATCGCAGACACCGTCGGTGCCGTAGTCGCCACTTGGAAGCTGCACGTGATCGACCCAGCGCCTACCATGATCCAATCGCCTTTTGCCAGTCCAAACGTGAGACCGAGACTTCCGCTCACCGACAGTGTGTTCGTAGCAGTGACCAGATCGGTAATACAATTCGCACAGAGCTGACGAGTCATCCAACGCGACGGAACTTTCGAAGCCGAAGGAGTCACGATCATCGTCTGCTTGTTCGAAGACAGAAAGTCTGCGTTCGTATCCCATTCCACGCGGAATGAGTCGATAATCTCCAGTCCCGACCAACTATTGGGGTCGCTGAACGCGATCATCAACGAGTTCTTCGTGAAACCCAAGACGTTCGACGTCGCGCCGACCACGCCAGCTCCTAGCAACTGGGACGGTACTGTCAACGTTGGCGGCGCAGGCAGTTGTCGCGTGGTTGCTAGCGTTCCTGTTGCAGCACAGGACTCGATGCCCGGTTCACAAATGAACGTGGCGATTTGAGCCGCGCCGTACCCTTCACGGTTCTGCGCCCGGGCACGAATCGTGTACTGCTTGTTCGGTGTGAGTGGTTTGAGGATCGTAGACTGCTGGTCGTCCACGCTGGGCAGGATCGCGACTGAGCTGTCGGTCGTTGAGTCATACAACGCCTTCAGGTTCACGGCTTGACCAGTGAATGCGTCGCAGCCGTGCTGCCGTTCCAGGTTGTACATGACTAGCGATCCAGTCCACGCTGTCTTTACAAACGTTGCTGCATCCTTGCTTACAGTGAGAATGCATACAGGAGACACACTACTAAGCACTATAATCTGTCCACTGGCCAACCCAGTGTTCGAATTGAGCGTGAGCGTCGGCGCCAGAGAGGCTGTTCCAGCTGTGAGCGCCGACACGCATCCCGTGCACAGCAACGGCTGCACGGCAAAGGCTGCGGTCGAGTACTCCACGAGATACTGCGTGATGGTGGCACCGTTGTTCGACATTGGGGTCTTCCAGGCGACATTCAATGCTGTCCGATCGGCACGGTTGCTTGCCACGGTGACAGAAATCGGCGCCAGAGGCGGCGCGACTGGAGCCAGAACTGCGTCACCTGCAACGCACGGAAGATCATGGCACAACGCCGTCGCACGCAGTGGTGCTCCTATTCCGACCGAGTTTAGAGCCGCAACCTGCACTGCGTAGGCTACGCCGGGCGTCACCAAGCCGCCATTAAGCTCTGTACCAGTCCAAACATTCCCTGAGACATCGACACAGCCACCCGTAGCGTCCGTCGCCACGACTTCCAGTTGTGCAACGTCAGCCGTATGAGCCGGTGAACTGCCTGAAGCCCCAGTCGCACTCGATCCTGTAAATGTGATCCTGAAGTGCCGAATGTTGCCAGCCTCAATGTCAAGAGAGACGTCAACACCGTCACCGCCCACTAAACCCGAGATCGCAGTCACCAGTCCGGCAGCGTTCGTTGACGCGGGGATACAGGCAGTCGTAGGCTCTACGTGAATCGTGTACGTCGCTTGTGTCAGTGGCAGTGGACACGTCGTTGAGCCACTAGCAGCAGACACGAACCGGATCGGTAGCTTGTTCGCTGGAAGCGTGGCCACCGCCGAAACTTCAAAGACACACGCAGCACCCGCTTTATCAACAATGAAGCGCGCGTTTGTACCCAGCACTGTTTGTAGATCTGGCGTCGTGCCGGTATAGTCCATAGTGATGACTCCACTGACAGGAGCAGTAAATGCCAGCGAACAGGTACTGCAGATCGATGTCGTAAAAGATGACGACGACAGGACCAGGCGGAACGAGCCTGTTCCGGCCACTGCGTCCGGTGTCAGCGACAACGACTGCACCTCAGCCCCCAATCGGAACAGACAAGCACCTGGATAGCACGTTAATGTAGCGCCTGTCGGGTCCACCATTCGCACATCGTACGACGTCACGGCTTTAGCATTTGCCGCCAAAGCAGACGGATCCCACCAGCTCAAACGGTAGTGCGTGATCGTCGCGCCCCCATTCCCTGCCGTGAACCCCAGTGCGTCTTTTGTAGGCTGGACAAAGTTCACCTCGATCTGCGTTGGCTGGTCTTGAGAACTCACCTGCATGGTCACAGACGTCGGGCGGAACGGGGTCACTGCTCGCGGTGTCAAACTCTTGACTCCTACTAGAACGGTAACAACCGCCGTGCCTCCAGCAGTGTTAGGCGTGCTTACGGACAGGACTTGAGCGAGGACCGGGGAGCCGTAGTTCCCGTTGTAAGCCGAAACGCGCACGTATTGCTTCGTGTTGGCAGGTAGACTCAGAATGGTGTACGCGATGCGACCGTCAGCCCCAACGGGAGTCGCACTAATCACTTGCGAGTTAGCTGCAGCGGTGGCGTAGTTAGTTCTGGTGCCGCTACTACTAATGGATCCAGCTCGACACACAGCAAAGTCCGGCGTTGTGCTCCACTCCACGAGATACTTGGAAGTTAATGGCGACAGTGACGGCAGCCAGCTTACACCAAGTGAGGCAGCGTCTACAATGGAAACGCGTACGTCGCGCGGTCCTGTGGCGGATACAGGTCGCGGTCGAATGGTTAAGGAACCGTCTTCGATCGGGGTTACTACCTCCAGAGGCGTGACTGTACTTTGTCCCGTATGCGTCACTGTTAGAGCTCCAAGCGCACTGGCCTGTACTCCATCAACCGAAGCTGTACGGAACGTAATACTCCAAGTCATTAACAGGTCGCTGGGTGTGTCCACGCCACTGGTATCATAGGGCGTAGCTGCAGGTCCCTTGGAGTAGTCCGAACGCTTGACCAACAGGATGCCTACGACTGAAAGACTCTGCAACGCGCTTTGCAGCTCCAGCGCACTAGAGATAACTCCTATTGTTACCGTCTTGGTAGGATAATTAGCGAAGGACAGCGTCATCATCTCGGTAGCAAGCGCTACCTCGTCGAGTGTCGTCCCCGAGACAGTGATATGACTTACTCGCTCGTGAGCGTCGACCGGCTGTGCCGTCACTGGGGAGCCGTAGCCCCGTGCGTTGTAGGCGACAACCGAAACGAAATAGTCCTTGCTTGAACTCAATCCAGTGATCCTATAGTCGAACAACTCGTCGTCTTTTTCTCCAACCAGAACGATATCTGAACCTGAAAAAATACTCTGTAAGTCGAAGCTCGCACTGACGTCCCATTGCACCTTGTAGTGTACCACACGAGCGCCTCCATCGTCCAGAGGAGCTTGCCACGATACTCCCAGACTATCTGTTGCTAGAGGAGCGACTTGAGCGTTCTGCACTTCCAACGAGGGTCTTGCCACTGGCTGGAACGCACCAGGTATGGTCACAAACTTGCTCGTAAACTGTTCGTTAGATGCCGCGAGACGAACCACGTAGTTCGTGGTGTTTGTTAGCTGGTTCAATATCGCCTGAGTGGGTAATCCTCCCTGTTCAAGCTTCAAACCCTCCACACACGGCGTTACGCCTGTGAGTGTACCGCCACAAGCCCTTGACGTAAACGGGAGCGTGGCGTCCGTCCGTACGCCCAGCAACGGCAGGTCGTCCATTGAGCTAATGAACGTCAGGTCCCAGTACACGCCGTGTCGTGTTGCCGGGAAAGTCGAGCGCGCCGAGACTTCACCTGTTACAGTCACAGACACCTCACCAACCGTCGATAACCCCTCCAGCGCGACTCGAACGTCTTCCGACGTGGCGTCCACCGCTAATGCGCCCGTAGATTCACCTCCAACGCTCAGCATCACCGTTCCACCCAAATCTACAGGAGATCCGCTGTAGATGAAAACTCGCTGGACTTCGTGCTGTGGCGTCACGACCACCGTAGTGACGGCAGCTCCTGTCATACTACTACTGTCGACACTGCCCTTCACCAGTTCCGTGACACTCAGAGCCAACGCCGACATGTAGTCGGGCGACCTGTCCAAGCTCTCGTAAATGGTTTCCGAGATTTCAATGAGCGGCACGTCTCCGATTGAGTCGCTGAACGTGACGACCCACTCGTAGCCATACCCCGAGAAAACGCCGACACTGTTGCGACTTACACGTGCAATCGCGCCTGGAACATTCAAAGCGTTGGCGAGTGCAGAGCGCAGGTCGTCGCTCGATACGTTGCCCAGTACTGTCGTCGACCCAGACACGTCACCGACGCGAAGTCTCATCATTAAACGCCGCTGCGATAAATCGCCCAGCGAGCTGTCTGCCTTGATCAGTTGCTGCTCGGCGACGCCCCGCCGAGCTGCGATCTGCACAGTGTAATTGGATACAGGAGCTCCTCCTGTGTTCAGAGGCTGCGTCCACGATACGAGCAACTTGGTAGGCGAACGTGGCTCAACATTCACGTCTCGCGGCGCGTCCGGGACGCTCTGTACTATGAACCGAGCGGGCGTAGACGCTCGCGTCGTGCCAAATACGTTGCCTACGCCGTTCCACGCTGACACTCGCACGTGATATCCTACACCAAGACGCAGTCCCCGCACGTCGTAGTGCGCCATCCCATCGTCACTGATACTCAAGTCGGTCTTTTTCACTATTGCGACGCCGTACAGATCACTGTTCATCGCCGGGAGACCGCCACCCTGTGTGCGCGTTGTATCACACGACTTTGTAGCCGTCGTTAACGAGCTGGTGAGGTCTAAGCCAATGCAACTGACAAGCGGACGGTTCGGTCCCAGACGCGACTTGTACACGATCGTGTAGACGAAGCCCGTGGGGGTCGCACTTTGCCGCTTGTACACGTCGATGTCTCCAACCAAATCACCAGCGTCCGTGATCTTTGTCAGCGCGTGCTTTACAGCCGTCGCGGATGCATTCGCTGGGATGGACGCTGTCTGTTGCTGGTTGTAACTCAAACGGAAGAACCCGCCCAGAGTTCCTGCACTAGTTGAAACCTTGACAATCTGCTGTTCGAAGCCATTGAACGCGCGTATGAGCGTCGCCGTCGCTAGTTTAGCCCCCGTGCCGGTTAACGTACTGGTCGCCGTCTGTGAGGTACTGAACGCCGTAAGAAGCTGCGTGCTGTCCGTCGACACCTTCAGTAGCGAGATGTCTCCATACACGTCGCCCGTAGATGTATCTGCACGGAACGGCGAGGTCAAGAACGTCACGAACCACGCGTATCCGAACCCAGCAGCAACGCGGCGAACGCTGACGCGACCAACAGTTGGTAGCGCCTCCAATGCAGCGGTAATAGCGTCCGATGAAGCATCCCAAGGCAAACTCGAAGTCACGGCATCTAGGAATGCCAACCGGAAAGAACCGCGCACGTCGTACGCCGTCGCTGAGAGCAGTAAGAGCTGTGTTGTGTATTCTGCAAACAGCACACGGTTGATCAGACTGGTCGAGATAGTCGCAGCCGTCTTCGCACTCGAGATAGCAGCCACAACATCCGGGATCACAGCGTCCAGATCCATTACATCCCACTCGATCTGGTACTGCGTGACGTCGGCACCGCCGTTGTCAGAACTGTCACTCGATGTGTTGAATGATACGGTCAGGCCTCGATCTTTCGTTGCAGTAAGGAATACGTGGACTGGGGGTTCTGAAAGCGTTTTGGGCACTCCAAATCCAGGTACAACGGGGTAACCAGCCTCGACCGAGTAGCCGAGCGAGTTGTAGGCGTAGACACGCACGTAATACGGCGTGCCGCGCTCCAGTGATCCAATGACAGCCTCACATGGCGTCAATAGACAATCGACGCCGGGATTCACCACAGCTTTACGTTCGTACCCGAGCGAGCTGCCTTTGGAGCTTTCCCCCGCGGAATCAACCCCTGAGTCAAACGTTGGCTTTGGGTCCCATTCGACACGATAATGCGTAATAACGTTGCCGCCATCGCTAGGTGGATGTCGCCAGCGTACGCGTAGAGTGGATCCACTGTCAGCAAAGAGAGCGACGTCAAGAGGAGTTGCTGGTTTCTGCTTCGGTGCGGCTAAAGTCAACGGCGACGCCATGGTTGGAGCATTGCACCCGAGCGAGTTACAGGCGCTAACTCGAGCGGAATACGGCGTACCAGGTGGTAGAGCGTCGAGCACGAGAGAGTACGTATCTGTAGCGTTAGTTGCTGGTATGGTCTTGGAGTGATAGTCGACGGGTAGTACGCCTGGTACAGTCCATCCCAGTAGAGCTGGGTAGTTCCCGTTTGCACCAGGGAAATTCCCTGACAACGTTAACGTCGCTGTCCCCGTGGCTACCGACACGGCCGTCACTCGCCAGAGACCTTGAGATATCGAGAAGTACATGTCCACCAGAGCACCTGTCGCTGCAGTGTCTGTACTTGTGACTTGATTTGAGCCCTGTACTACTGCTACAGTTATGCTGCTACTACCGACAGGAGCAGCGAGTTGTGCTCCCACGTCCGTAGTGAGGATCGTTGCCGTCAACGTTGTTGAATCAATTGAAAGCACTTTACCCAGAACCGCTGGCGCCTCCGATAGGAACGTGACTGCCCACTGGTATCCTCCACGAGACGGAAACGCCGTTCGCTCCACCTCCACGCTGCGTAAAGCAGGTAAGGATTCCAGACTGTCCTCTAATTCAGCCTCGCTAACGTCGATAGCGAGAGGTTCTGTGTACGCTCCACTGTACTGGACGCGAAACGTGCCCTTGACCACGTCTGCTGCGTCCTTACCGAAGATTTGTAGGGTCTGAACTTCGAACGGAGACGTATCGGCACTCTGCGGCTGGTACCAGTCAACAACGTAGCTGGTGACGGCAGCACCATGAGCGTCTGCGGTTGTCACGGGAAGCCACGAAAGCAGTAAACTCGTACATGACGCCGCCGTGGGGACGGAAGAGGACGCCGGTCTTACACTCAAAGCCACGCCACCACCCGTTCCATCAAGTAGCGGCGAGGCTTTACTTCTGGGCACTTCGAATGAAGGTACGGGTTGTCCAACTGGACCGACGCCCATGATATTCTGTGCGCGGACTTGTACGGCGTATGTGGCGCCCGGAACGAGGTTGTCGACAGTGTATTTAAACCTCAACGACGCAGGGTGTGCTGCGAGGAAGAACCCCGGAGTTTCGCGGAAACTACTGAAAGGCTCAGAGTTCGAACGGCCTGGCGGATCAAGACGCCACTCCACCACGTAGTACGTGATGATCGCGCCGTTATTTGTCGTGGGTGCGTTCCACCACAGTCGAAGACTAGTTGACGAACCAGCTACAAGACGCAATTCGACATTCGTGGGAGCAGCAGGAACTGCCATCGGCTTCAGGGACGCTGTCGCACTAGGGAGGCCGTAGCCTGCCGAGTTCTTGGCAAGTACTCGCACCGAGAAGCCAGGCCCGTTCGTACCTCCTACCTCACCTGGTGTGTTCGGTTCAACAGAAGCCGAAGGCTGCATAAGACCTGAGATCAGGAACGCGTACGGATCCCCACGCTTTGGGACGTCCGGGGGCGTAAATGTGGCCGGGCTGCTCAGTAGTTGCACGGTACTCGTGGTGCTTTCCGACGCTGTGCACTGCATACCGTTCGCTAATGCTTGAGTAGCTCCTTTTGAGCACACTATATACGCTTTACTACCAACGAGCTGTGTTGTGTCTACTTGGATAGCCGGCACAGTTCCGACGCGTGAATTGAACGTGATTGTGTAGTCTCTCGAGTTGGCTGAGAGCACGGACGTCACAGTCACATCTCCAGCTCCGTCCAAAGCCTCAAGCGCGATTTCCACATCGGAATACAACGCTGAGGCTGACAGTGGTCCCGTGACTTGGCCGTTGTCAAGTGTTAGAGTGAATGTCCCTCCAGTGTTACCAGTGGCGATCTTCACGACCTGCACCTCACGCGAGCCGTACGCCCCGTACGTCCACCACTCGACTTGATATCCCGTCATAGGCGCCCCTCCGTCATCGCCTGGCGCGTTAAAGTGAACGAGTAGCGCGTCAGCAGCACTGATCGTCAAGCTGATGTTCGTCGGGGAAGAAGGCTTAGAGCCCTGCGTGACAACATTAAACGGGCTCTTCATAATGGCGTCGGAGCGGTGAAACAAGCGTGCACTCGGCACTATCCGCTTCGGTTGTGTATGCGACTGCCACAAGAGCGAGACGGAGGCAACGCCCGAATTCTCGCGGTATTCCAGGGTGATCTCCGTAAGCCGGTCCTTGATCAAAGCCACCGACGCGTTCGCCTGGAACTCTACCGCCGTGGAAGCGTCGACGTCGAAGTCGTACTGGTCAATCACGAGCTGGTTCTCGATCCAGAGTCGCGCGCCGTCGTTCACCAGCACGTAGAAGGTGTAGTCCTCACTGAATGAGGGTTTCACGTAGCCCTGCCATCGAACGCTAACATGTTCTCGACTTGTCGGGGTGATCCGTTCTTCCTTCCACATAAAGTCAATCAGAGGATCCACCCGTTCGAGCGTCGGCGTGCCGTACAGCCAGCGGTTGTCGAAATAACTGCCCATCAGGCCTCGCGGCGCCACATATCGCACGTCGAGGGAGTACGCGGCTTCACGAGGAGTGTCGTACACGGCCTTGTACGTCGCTCCGCCTAGATAACTCACGTCTGCCACGACGGTCGACGCGCCTCGCAGCACGGGCACAAACGAGTGGCCTTCACTGCCACTAACCGACTGAACGTTGACGTTTTCCCTCGTCTTGGTACTGGGGCACACGGGCGTCACTTGAATTCGAGCCTGTTTACCAAGTAACAGATATCCTTCAGCGTACAGCAGTTCGAGGTCTTGATCGCCTTGTGGCTCGGTGGACACGAGTGTTATCAGCCATGTGTATCCTCCGTTCGTTCCCGTGACTGGCGTGGCAACCGTCGCTGAGTGGATACCGTCCAGAGCCTCGAGAGCACGGCTTAGTGTATTGGCGTCCACATTCCATGGTAGCATGGGCGTCGTGTTACCACGAAAAGACAGCGAAAAATCGCCGCTAATCTGCGAAGCTGCCGTCGTGTGAACCTGCTGCGTTCGTAGATAATCGCACGCCGTGACTGTGGCCTTTCCAGTGCCAGTTCCTCCGCCCAGCTTGGTCGTATAGACTGCTAGTGCCGGTAAATCGCCCAACTCAGCGGCAAACTTGACTCTGTACGTGAATCCAGCGCCTGGATCGCTCTGCTTGTAGACATTCGCTGCGTTATCCGACACTCCTTGATAGATACCCGATAGCGTAATGGTCGTGGCTGTAATCGCAGTGATAGAGAAGACCGGACCACTTAGAGAACCGATACGGATCCAGTCTCCTACCACGAAGTCCGGGACAGTCAAGAAACTCGCCGACGTGGTCAGGACGTTTGACGTTTTGGTCGCTATAACGGTGCCAGTTGTCACCAACGTCTGTACATCAGGGGTATCAACCGTAACAAACCCGCTTAGAGTGTCGAGAGCTTCTAACGCCGCCTCGACTTCCTGGATTCCAGCGTTGGCCGGTAACGCCGCCGTCTTCTGTCCATCCAACACCAGTGCAAAGGTGCCCGTTAGTTTGTTGCCTAGTCCAGCGGAGCTAAACGTCTCGACGATTTGAAGCTCCTGAACGGGAGCTCCACTAAAGCCTCCTCCCGTTCCATCCAATAGATTCCCGTTCGTATCACGTGCCTCGATGATGAAGCTCGAACGTGAGTGGAATCTGCCCGAGTGAAGACCGTTCTGCCCCACTGCGTTGACTGAACCGGGTTTGAACGGAGTGCTCCCATCCACAGCAGTACACTGGGTCGGAACGAGGGCGCCGTGCGCGACGATCGTGGTAAACGGACTCACACCCGTCACTGGTGTGGTCACCGCAACTGTGCCGTCAGGAGTGGCACCAGCAACGAGCGTATGCGTCGGCGTAGGCTTCAACACTGGGATATCGCCAACGAGTCTAGCGTGACGCACAATTCGGTTCGGCGTATACAACACCGAGTTCCAGTACGCCGTCTGGGGTGTTCCTGCCGTCGCGGCCAAGAACGTGACAGTCCACGCTCGAACTGTAGCCGTGCTGGTCGTCAGACTCACGCTCACGCCGCTGGTCCCGATCGATGGCAACTGGTTCAACAGATTTTCAAGTGTGGCGGCTGCGGCATTGTAGACTATCAGGTCTGTCGTGTGAGCGCCGAACTGTAGCTGGAACGAGCCTCCAGTCAACACAGCGGTCGACGTCACAGTCACGACCTGCTGCTCGTTCACGATGGGTTCTCCCAGAGTTGCTGAAGTCTTGACGTGCTCGCGAGACTGTGAAGTCTGTAGCGTAGAAATCAACATCGCACCACTGCCACCATCACCGCTGTAGAGATTGTTGACTGTCTGGACGACGTCCAGCTCCAGATCTGGCGGAAGCCGCGTGTACGTGATCAAGTAGTCGAAGCCGTTCTGGTTGTTGATCGCCCGCGTCACAGTGATAGCTGTGGTCGCGTTCATCGTCTCTGCGAAAACTGGCAGGTTCAGCAGCGCCTGCTGGACGTCCGTCGCGTTAGCTTCAAACACTAGCGGCGCCGTAGTCTGTCCGAACAAACGCAGTGCGAACGTTCCTCCTCTACTTGTGCCTGGCAATGCGAACGTTGATGACACCTTGTGAACCTCCGGTGACGTTTGTGTAGTGACCACCACAGTGTGGCGTCCCGAGAGCACGGGCGTGTACGAAACCTTGTACAGTCCTTCAGAAATGTACGCGACGGACGAGACATCGGCCACCTGAGATGACAGATACGCCGAGCCGGCGGGGAACACTTGAACCTGCAGGTAATTGGTATCACTCTCCAGGTTATTGCCGTGCGTGTCTTTCATTTGGACGAAGAACGAGGCCAAAATTCCAGACGTGCTAGCATACAACCCTGGGCCGTACGCAGTACTCACAGTTGGGTTCATTACTCCAGGATTGACGCGTACGTTCTTTGGGAAACCATTAACCATCTGCGCTGCTCTCGGTTGTGTCAGAGTTAGGATGACAACGACAGCGTTGTTGCCGGTCAACACGCCGCTGTACGAAGCACCGAGACTCGAAGCCACGGTCTCTGTGAGATGCCTGAACGTCACCAGCCATCGGCAGCCTTTCGTGGCATCCCCATTCGTACATGACAGCGACGTTGCTACGTTGCCTACTCCGACAGTCGAAAGAGCTTCAAGTGCCGTCTTCACGTCCGTGTCCAAAGCGGCGTAACTCAGCGCAGTCGTCATCTTGCCACCTACCGAGAGATAAAAGGAGCCACCCAGTGCCGAGTCGGTTTGGGTGATCACGGCGTGTACCGCATCAATTGCCGGCAGACGTACGCTCAATTTGTACACACCTTTCACGTAAGGTACCATCGCTACCGTGTGGCGACCAGTAGTGTCGCCGGCCTTGAACACAGGGACGAAATCACTCGATGCGCCTCGATAGGGTTGGTCAAGCGGGATTGCCACGACACTTAGCACACCTGCCGTATTGTGCACATTGTTCACTTCCCGTCCGACCGTGATTTGGTCTCCACGCTTTAGTCCAAAGTCTCGGTTACACGCCGTGAGCGAGGTCGAACCAGAAACAACCGAGCAGGTACCAAGGTAGTTCCAGTCTGTCGGCGCAATGGCAGATACATCGAACTGCGAGCTGCTAAACGCCTCACAGCCATTCGCAGACACGACAACGATTGCGACGGCGCCAACGGAGAATGGTCCAGTGACGCTTTCAGTAGTGAAGAAGCAGTCCCTGCGACGCGCTAAAGTGCCGCTGTTCGCGCTAATCACGCGGAACCGCACACCAGCTTCCAGTTGACTCGCCACGTCCACGTTCAGTGTCAATGTGCGTGTGCTAACCACGAAACTGACGGCGCACGCCTTGCAGATGAACGTCGGGTCATACTGAATGGCAGATTTCGTCGTCACGTCATTGATCCTTCCACTGTGCGCCCAGCCATCGATGCCAACCACCGAAATCTCGAAGGCGTCACTGCCGCTGTGAAATCGGCGGTTCCCAAATGAATCGTGCGCCTCCAGCACGAAGGTAATCGGACTCAGCGCGTTGGTCACGATGGCGCTGTCACTTGCGTTTGTCGTCATAAACCCATCGAAAGAGTTGCGTATTTGTGTCGAGTTGATCACGCCCGGGTACGCCTGAATATTGAACGGCGTGTTGACTAGCGCCGTTGAGGTAAACAGTGACGCGGATGGCACCACCGTGCGAATCAGACCAGCCGTTTGGCAGCTCCATTCAAGCTTCACGAACGACTGGGCGTCCTTCGTTCGATAGCTGACTTCCACGCTATAGTATCCACCTTCTTTCAACTCGACCGGTATCGAGTCAAACTTGTTTATGGCGGACGACACGGTCGGGTTGGCGAACAGATCGAGCACCACTTTCCCGTCTACAACGAGCTTTACAGCGTTGTCGGCGCGTAGTGTAAAGACGTGCTGGCCAGACACTGCAGCCCGCAGCTCGCCCTTCCATCGGATCGAGTAGTTTCGGTTCGGGAACGGGTCGCCTAACGGAGAAGTTTCCCCCCACTGGAACGACACCATCGCGTCTTGGCGACTCAAGTAGCTGTCTGTAAAGTCCGCCGTCGCGTAGTACATGGCCCAGAGACCTCCCGCCTGGCGTCGAACAATTGACAGCGTGTACGTTCCAGCCCGTTGAGGAAGGAAACTAAGCGAGAAAATGCCGTTCGTGTTCGGATGCGACTCGGTGATCGAAACGGGATACAATTCAACCAACATAGACGGCATGGGAGGGGGCGACAGCTTCGCAACGAAAGCGTCTGTGCCCAACTCGGTGCTTGACTCGAGAAGGTTGTTGAATCTGTCGATAGCTTGGACGGTGAACCATTCCGTCACTCCCTGTGTTACAACTGCCGGTGCTGTGTGCGTACTGGTCGCTCCACTCGCCAGTGTCGGCTGCACTTGGAACGATGGCGGACAGAACGTCGCTAAGTTCAGCACTGCCACGCCCAGCGCATACGTTCCGCTGACGACCGGCGTGGCTGTCACGTTGAATAGTCCCGGGTGTGAGCCGTCGTATACAAGCGAGTCCAGTCCTTTCGTCGTCTCCGTCACTTGAGCCAGCAGGATTCCGTCACGTACTTGGGAGACTACAAACGAAAGCTGGTCGGCTACTTTCCTGAACGTGATGTCCACAGAGCTCGCAGGATCAGTGCAAACTTGAGGTGACACGCTCGTAACGTCCACACCGCCAGCCTGAACGATGCTCTTCATATCGTTAAGCTGCGTTTGCAGTGCACTAGGCACAGTATTCGCCCCCACTGTGATCCGTTCTCCAGCGAATGAGAGGTCGAACGAGGCGGTAGCTGCTGCCGCAGCCGTGACTTGGCACTGCAGGTTCTGTACCTCAAGATTGGAGATCCTGATCGCAGTCTCGCTCGGAGCGACGCCCTTTACTGCCTCTGAGATATACATATCATTACCGATCGAGCTCCAAGCGACCAGAGCGACATCCGCTGGTGTCTTGAATACAATCTCGATCCTGCGCGGATTGGTCACGCTACATACGGGGAAGAACATCAAAGCCGTCGACAGTTCCGCCGCAGGCCTCCGTACGCCGTCTATCGTCGCGTACAGCTGTACGCCGGCCGGAATGGCGTTCAATTGTGTCTCAAGTTCCTTGAGAGACGCGTCTGGTGCGATGACTTTGCTCACTCCTCCGTACGTGAGAGTGAACGGCTGGCTCCCACGGCACAGAAGCTTCTGCACTTCCTGTACTCCAGGATTCTCCAACGTCGTCGTCATCGTAACCTTCGTGTCACTCGCTGTAACCGAGCGGTTGTTACCCACCGAACCTCGTACAAGCTCCACCGTTTCCATATACGGCTTGTGTTGACCATCGTCGTGCATGGATATACCCGAGAAATCTGGAACCAGCTCAGGCACATTGCCCGAGTGGGTGTCGAACGTCACTGTCCACTGCACCAGCGTGACCAGCTTGGCTGTCGCCGTCTCAGTGGTGATGTCAAACCAGTCGCGCGTCACCGTCACTTGATCCACGAGCGAGAGCGACTCCAACGCGCTCTTCACGGCAGTCCGCGACGCGCTGAACGGGATGTTCACGGTCGTCTCCGCACGATCAGGTAACAAAAGTGTGAAGCTGCCCCAAGCCGGGTAAATGCCGCTCACTGTGTTGTCCGTATTGTCTTCGCCGACGACTGTGAGTTGAGACCCAGCAGGCTTCGTGTATGCGAGCGGTGCCACATCTCCGAGCAGCTGGTTAAATGTAATGAATAACCGCGATGAAGTAGTCTGAGCACACACAGTCGTCTGTACTCCGCCTTCCGCGACCACCGACACCGATGACCCCACCAGAGTCGTAAGCGTACTTGAGAACGTTGCCAGTGTATCGGACGCAGCTACGTCCGTGGGTGTTCCTCCCTGAAACGAGACGGAGAAGGATCCGGCCAACGCCACGGCCATGGCTGACGTGCACGTCAAGATCTGCGTCTCCTGTCGCACGGAGACTGCTCCCTTCACGGAGGACGTCACAGTCGCCCCAGTGTTCGGACTCACCATTAACGGCAAGCTGCCCGTTGCCTTGGTGAACGTAACCAGGAACGCGTGATGCAACACTGCAGTCGTGTCCGCGACGTTCTCGGGCGTCACCGTCACGCCACCAGTTGAAATCGTGCTGAGCGCTTCCAGTGCGGCGGTGATACTACCGAACGAGCTGCTGGTAGTCAATGAAGTTGTAGCCGGCGAGCCGCGGAAGCTCAGCGTGAACGGTGAGGCATCCACACGAACGCGCTGTACTTCTTGAACTGGCGCTAGCACTACCGCGCGCAATCGGATGGCCTGTTCTTCGAGTCGACGAGTATCTTTGAGTTGCACCTGGAAAGACAGCGGCTTGCCTGCTTCGATCACCATTTGCTGCGCTTCTACGCTGTAGTTCTCCGTCCGCCAATCTCCTGTCGCTGCTAGAGCACTCGGGCCGTGGGTAGTGTCGTCAGTCACTTGGACTGTAAACGGGCTGCCCTTCACGTGGGTATCTCGGTCCCAAGTCGTTACGGCCACCGTGTACGAGCCGGCGTAGTGCGGCGTATACCACACGGGGTAGCCTCCTGCTGCTGCCGTGTACGCCACCACGAGAGGATTCGCGTACAGGCTGGACGCGAATTCGTTCGTGTATTCCACTGCAAGATGAGCCTCGCTCCATTGCAGCAGATGCGAAAGGAACGTCACTCTCCATTGGTATCCACTCCCGACATTCGTACGTGTGACTGCCACCTCAACATTAACGTGAAGGTCCTGGAGAATGGATCGTAAGCCTGAAGCACTTACATCGTGGGGAATTAACGGCGTCAGTGCTTCCGTTGCTGCTGTACTGGACGCTGCGACCTGGAGAGCGAACTTTTGCGAAGCGAAGGCTATGCAGCCGTGGTTGGTAACAACAGTCACACTGGTAGACGTCACACTTGCGGCCGTGAAGATACACTCCTGCACTACAAACTTGGTTCCATGAAGCAGAATCCCGACCAAGTTGGAGCTCACGGACAGCACGTCGCCTACCAAGGCGGTGACACATAGAGGACATAACTGTTTCCGGAACTTTCCGAATGAGAGTTTGAAATACCCGGCGATCGTTTTGTCGGCGCTCGTAAGCGTTTGCACTGCGGTAGACGTACGAAACACTTCATCTTTACCCGTAAACGTGACCAGGAAGGCGTCGGATCTGCCGTCGCCAGTGGTGAGCGAATGCGTCGTGCGATCACCTTTCCGTAAGTTCCCGAAGGTGTCGCGCGCGTAGATTGTGAAGGTTGTTTGATGGCCACTGGTAGCTGTACTCAGCGCCCCGGTCGATGTATCGTCCACGGTGCAGCTCGGACCGTGTAAAAAGCTGTGTACTACCGTGAGTATTGCGGGTGTGTTCAACGCCAGGCATGTCACGCCTCCAGGACACATGAGAATTGGGATCCCGTTCAAATACGTCTGAATCTCGTACGTTCCAGCGCAAGGAATCGAGTACTCGACGGCATAACGACCCGTTTGTCCGGCGACGAGGACGTTGCTGCGGTACTGTACCGATCTATCAGTTTGAAGAACCATCTTGGTCTCGAACACGTCATCGGCGTCTGCAGCGTTGGCGTACGTGTCGCGGGCTTGGATCGTGAAGTTCGAAACCAGTCCAGCCACAGCTTCAATGAGACCATCGAGAACGCCATACGTCGAAGCGGCAGCGTTCCCTAGCGCTTGACTGGTATGCGGCGTCGCCGGACCAGGTCGAGCGATCAGTGCGAACGGGCTGCACTTGTGAAGCTTGCCCAGTCCGCAGTAGATGTCGATGCCGTTCACTGTCCGTACCGAAACCGTGTACGTTCCGCTGACGGACGGCAAGTACCGGACCAAATATTGTCCTTGACCGATGTATTTGGGCTCTTCGAACGGAGCGAGCTGCACTCCCGTCGCCGTACCCGTGTTTGTTCCCTTGATCTCCACGTCAAACGCGTCTCCATCGACAGTTTTGTTGTTGTCGTTCTGGTCCTTGGCTTGGATAATAAACTGCGCTGTCACCCCCGCTGTGGCGATAGTAAGACCGTCACCAAACGCTGTCGTGTACGGGAAGTCTGTTGCGCCAGGCGTGACTATGATCGGGTACGGACTACCAGCGATGTGTTCGCCGTGGAACAAAGCACTACTGGGGATCGGCGCGATGGGAAGATACGATGAACTCCACGACAATTTAAAAGAAGCAGCGCCTGAAGCTTCATGGTACTCGATGCGCAGATCGTAGAACGTTCCTGTCTTTAAAGATTCACTGAAGTTTTCCAGCGTTCCTCCTTCATCTTCGCCGTCTTCCCACGTATCAACACGAAGCTGGTGGTTCAGCCACACACGTACGCCTTCACTAGACGATACGTAGAACACATAGATATCCGCCGTGGGGACTGCGAGTTTACCGAACCATCGGATGCTAATGTAGTCTCGTCCGTAGTTAGAGACAGCACCTTGACCCCAGTCGAAGCTTAATTGAGGGTCTACACGGACGATCACAGGCTCGTCTTGCATCCAAAAGTTGTCAAAGTAAAGCGCCAACAATCCACCCGAGAGAAGCTGCTGTACTGAGACCGAGTAGTTGTCTGCTGCCTCGTACGGAATGTATCTCGCCGTGTAACTGGGCAACCCGCTCTGTTTCTTAAAGACAGCAAGTTGAGGGAATTGTCCGGTCAACGACTGCTTTGTTCCAGGCTGAAGTTCAGTCACGCTCACGTCGGGGAAGCTGCCAGTGAGACCCGAAGCATCAGCAACGAGAATCCCGATGTCACCCAGTCTAGAACGGAACGTCACTTGCCAGCTGAACCGGTTCCCTGCGTCCAGTTTGTCCGTTCGAGTGACGCCGACTAACCCCACCGAAGGCAGTGCCTGGAGAGCGAGCTTCATGGCCACGTCACTAGCATCGTACGCGATAGGAGCCGTAATCTCCGTTAAGAAGGAAAGCTTGAAGGTGCCTTCCAACGGTGTCGGAGAACCTCCCAGCGTTGTGATTTCCTGGACTTCGTACGCATAGGGATACGCTTCAAGTAGTGGTAAATCTCCCAAGTTCTTGGTGAAGGAAATCGTCCAGCGGTTGCCATTGTAGCGTTCCTCCTTCCTGACGTCCACTTCTTGGACGTTGCTCAGTGCCGTCTCCAGTTCCATCTTCAAGTCTACAGCCTCGATGTCAAACGGCAGGTTGTGCGTCGTCCCGCCCATGAAATTCAGCACAAACGTGCCTCCCAATGACAAACCCATCCGCTTCACCTCCTTGATAAGAACTGTAGCGGAACTGCCCGTCAACGAAGTCGGTAAGTCGAGTTTAATGTCTGGAACTTTGCCCATAATCTCGTTAAACGTCACGATCCACGTCTGCAGTCCTGTAGTCGCCGTGGGCGTCCCGTAGTTGGCGCTCTTCACCGTCACAGACACGTCGTCGATCCCGTTGAGAGATTCGAGTAGGTTCTTCATTGTCGGGGCATCGGCATTGTACGGAACTGTAATACTACCCATACCGGTAAATGTAAGAGAGAAGGACCCGCCCAACGCCGTTGTTGACCCGGTTACATCTAGCCACGTCGAAATGGACTGCACCTCGGCTGTGGATTCCACGCTAGCCGACGTCGTCACCGTCTGCACGTCACACACTCCCTTCTGGAACTCTGTGAACAGCACAGGTGTTGTAGTAAGGAGAGTCGCGGAAGCCATGAAGGTGGCGTCTCCAACCAGCTGCAGAGGCGGCTGGTCGCACAAGTCGGTAACGAAAGTGACGGAATATGTCCATGGAGCGGCCCCAGCCGTGGATACGCGGGAGACCAGCACACTTTCAACATTAGTGAGCGTCTCCAAGTTGGTCTTAATCAGATCAGCGGCCTTGGCGTCGCTCGCCGCAGCCAACACGGCGGCGTCCACCGGCGCAGTGTTCGTAGACACTACGCCACCCGCGCGAGCGCCGGTTGTGTCTAGTTTCAGACGAAACGTGCCCGTCACGCCGTTAAATCGCAGCGTCTGGATCTCGTACACCACTGGGTTGTACACGGCCAAGCCTCCTTCAGACACGAATGCATGGGTACCGTCGATGACCGACGGAGGCGAGGCCCACAGCTCCGTCCAGAAGCGATCTTTGCCTTGAAAATTGGCAGGAAGCGTAGCGTACGTCACCACGTCGCCCGACGCTTTTCGAGGAGCGATAGTGAACTCGTTCGCCTCGCCCTTGACGAACTCGTCGATCTGAACATGCGTCGTATCGCTCGATACGAGCATGGGGACGTCACCGACGACAGACACGAAGGTGACGTACCACACACAGTCCGCGCCGTTGAGATCTGCGCGAGAAACGTGCACTGCGCCAAGACTGGAGATGGTCGTAGGCAGCATCGCTTCCAGAGCGCTCGCAGTCGTTGTTGTGTCGATCGCACTGGTCGGACTGGACGTGCCCCACCGCAGCGTGAACGATCCAGTCAGTCCGTTGGTTTTCACGCTCTGCACCTCGTATACAATGCCTGCCATTCCTTGCAACAGCGCCGGCCCGTATGCTTCAGTATAGCTACTAGCGGCGCCAGGCGACGCTGCGACAGCAGGCGTGGACACACCGCCAATCCCGTCTCCAGCAGCGTTGATAGCCACGACAACGAAGGCGTACAGCGTATCGGACACCAAGTTGGTCGACGTGAAGGACAGAATATCGGGCGAAGTCGCACCGTCGTACACCACTCGACCGGGCGTTCCTTCCTGTGTTGTGGTGACCTGAGCATTCGGATTGCCACCAGTTAGTCTGCCTGTCGTCACCTTCATCAGCGGCAAGTCACCGAGCTCCGTCAAGAACGTCACGTCCCAGATCATCGCGTTGTTAGAGCCTGCCGTTGTAGTGACGTCCACGACACCGATGGACGGGAGGTTCTCCAGCTGCCGCTTCATCTCAGCTGCATCCGTCGTAGTCACGGACAAGTGACCCGTTTCAAAGCCGTGGAACGACACCGTGAAGTCGCCTCCGAGTGCTGTAGATCCTGCTTGCACTCGCGTCACGGACGTCGTGTACGCGACTGCAAGCACCGTGTTGGTGAGTTGGTCCGGGACAACCACCATCAAAGCTTGAGAACCGTCCGCCAATGCGAACGTGATCGTCCACGTTCGTCCTGTAGCAGTGGACGTGTGCGTCACACTGGTCGGGTTAACCCCGCACGTGGCCACGGCGGTCTGTACTTCGAGATCGGTTGCACTAGCTGATAACAAAGGTGTCGGCTGAGAATTCACGTACAGTTTGAACTTGCCGGACGCTCCTATGACGGACACGCTCTGAATCTCTGGCACCGGGGCACTGACTGTCGTCCGGATGCGTTGAATCTCCACATTGACCGGGGAACCAGACGCCGTAAAGCTTGCAGTCACGCCTGCAAACTGCCACAATCTGTAGCCGAGCAGTGGAGAACCATTGCAGCCTGTGAGTGTTGATGTACAGGTGGAAGGAGGCTGCCACGCCACACTAATCGCTGTCGCCGACACATCCGTGATACTTGGCGCACTTGGAGCGGACGGCACGTTTGCTAGCACCAGAGCCAGCACGGGGCTCTTTCCCGATGGTCCAACAGAATTCACGGCCAGGATGTAGAAGCGGAGGACTTTGCCCTCCGTTCGGCCTGTCACCTTGTGCGAGTATCCGTGAGGAAAACTACCTATCAGTGTCTGCTGGGCCCAGCCGGTCCCGTCGTCCATAAACAACTTGTAGCTGGTCACGGGGGATCCGCCATTGTCCTTTGGTGGCGTCCAGTTGATGAAGGCGATGCCGTCGTTCGCTGCGTTCGTGTTGATTGTGGTACGAGAGTCTCGCGTCAACGACGCCGGCGGGTCAGGAACGACAGGAGATCGGACCGTGTACTCGACCGGATCACTGAAGGCTCCGTAACACGCGGCGTTGGTATTCTCCGACGAGCAAAAGTTGACTGCTCGCACCTTGAAGGAATACTTGTGACCGGATTCAATCACGTTATCCGCCGTCGTCTGCAGAGTCGTTTGCAGCGTCACGGCGTCGTTTGGACGGTCATAAACTTTCCTGTACGACGACTCCGCCCACTCCGAGATCCAGAGCTCATAGCCGCTCACTGTGGCGCCACCATTTACGGTCGGCGTCTCCCAAACTACAGTAATAGACGTCGCCGTCGAGGACACGAGAGTCACAGGCCAAGGCGCACCTGGCGGTAGGTTCCTCGTTGTGACAAACTCCGGTACAGGCAGCGCTCGATATCCAAAACTCACACTGTTGTGCCAGTAGACGCGCGCGTAGTACTTGGTGCCATACGTGAGGCTCGAAATGACCGTTTGGAACGGGTCTCCTCCTGATAAATCAGTCACGAGCAGCATCGTAGTGGGGGCTACTCCCTTCACGGTCTCCGTCACCACCACTGTGGGGACTGCCGGGGACAATCCACCGATTAAATTCGTAGTAGCTTTATCGAGTAGAGTCACGTCCCCGATGTTGCACACGGCCGGGTTGAGTCTACATCCATTGAAGGTTATAAACCACGAGTAACCGTCTGAATTGGTCTGACGCGAGACACTCACGCCGCCGATTGAGGATAGTGTTTCCAACGCTCGTTGTATCCCTTCTCCGGTGTCATACGGCGATAGGTTGGCAGTGGTTTGGGTGACCCCACCGACAGTGTACGAGAGCTGGAAAGTGCCATCAAGTGGCAAGGATCCTTGCTGAGCCACGACCACTGCGGCTTGGCTATTCGTTCCTCTTAGTAAAGTCGAATCGGCCACCAGCGTGTCGATGTTGCCCGCTCCAATAGGGAAACTGCCTGGGTTTGCAGTGAACGTGACAGTCCACGAATACTCGCTCTTTAGTGACGGTGCCGACCGCGTCACGGACACAGTGCCGACGTTCGGTAGTGCTTCTAGTTTGCTCTTGACGGTCGTATCGGACGAGTCGTGACTGATTCGCTCCGTCGTATGGCCACCCAGCTTTAATTTAAAGTATCCAGACACGCGATTGCCGCCTACGGAGACTGGGACGGCTGGGTCCGGCGTCGCGCCTCGAGAGTACACTGTTATCCCAGCACCGTTACCCTGGAGAAGGTTGTTCGCCGGTCGAACCAGCATGTCCGGCACATATCCGCTGTTCTGGAACGTCACGCGCCACAAGCGCTCGCCCTTGGCCACATTCGCGGCCGGTAACGTATTCGTTCCATCCGTCACCAGGATCGTCATGGACGAATCCAAAGCTGCTAATGCTGCTTGGACAGTAGCGGCCGGCGCGTTATACTGGAGAGTTACTGTGTCAGCGTCCTTGCCTCTCAGATACGTGAGCTTGAACGACCCGCTCACAGGAGCCTGGCCTTTAGTTGACTCGGTGATGTCGACGCGGCGATTCCCTTCCAAGTCGTACGTGTTGGCGGTGAGGAGAGGCATGTCGCCTTGATAGCTTATGACGGAGGTGAACGTGACCTTGAACCCAGAAGTACAGCCCGTGATAGGACAGGGGCGACATGCTGTTGTCTGTCCACCGTAAAACGCCACAGTCACCGTCGTGATCGCGTTCAGTTCCTCCAGTATGGCTTTGATCTTGAGAACATCGGTTTGACTCGCCTGTATCGGCGCGGTCGTCTCGCCCGCGAAGGTGAGAGAAAACGTTCCTGTGTTTCTATCTGCGTCACAGTTCACCTGTTGGACCTCGCTTGCGGGTGAGCCAGAGTACGAGCTGGTTAACCGAACGAGCTGGACTTCCCCCACTGTATCCGTTGTCGTGCTGATCGTTTGCACCTCGTTCGTCACGGGAACAACCAGGCGAATCTGCTGCACTTCATCCACGATCGGACTTGTGCTATACTCGACACGGTACGAGTCCAGCGACGCTCCCCCATCGTTCTCTGGTGAGCTTAAACGCACCGCCACAGTCGTGCCGTCAACTGCAGACAGTGAGACGTTCGTCGGAGCACTCGGAACCTGTGCCGTGGGGATAGCATACTGCGGCGTAGAGTAGGTTGGCGGGCCCCGTCCAGCCGCGTTGATAGCGGACACGCGGAAGTAGAACGGGACGTTCTCGTCGACATGGTACGCTGTCACGGACAAGTCGCTGAGGTCTGTGATTACGACGCTATCAAAACTAAGGCCGTTTGTCCGGTCTTTGCTGTTGAAAGGCGGCAGTACACCCTTCGTGGCTTCCGTCACGTCGATTTTCGGTGCCGTTCCTGTAAGTGCTAGCGCGTCCGGCTGAAGTGGCTGAAGATTCCCGAGATTGTTGAGAAAGGAGATTGTCCAGGCGTAGCCATTGTTCGGATCTGCGTTAGACCTCGACACAGCCACACTGCCGATGGTCGAGAGGGTCTCAAGCTGCGTTTGCATCACTGCCGCACTGGCATCGAACGGCATGTAACCCGTACGCTGACCTTCATACTCGAGCGCGAAGACGCCACCGAGCACTGCCGATGTGCCGTCCGTACCCGCAGCTACTGTGATTGTATCTCCACTTACAGTTCCTGTAGCACCGTACGAAACCCCGTTGTTAGTGGAGACGGTCATCAAGGGCAGGTTCCCTGCGTTGCCGTCGAAGGTCACACTCCATGTGCACGTCTGCTTTGCCCCCGCCGTTGCCGTCACTGTGACTTGGGCGACGTTAGCTAGACGTTCTAGCTCCGTTTTGATAATGTTTATGGTCCCATCCGTGACTGTACTGAGTGCGATGGTGTCGTCTCCAATACTGACCGTAGCCGACGCAGCAGCAGCACTCGAAGCGGGGATTGCTTTCAACTGAACGACATTACCCGGCTGATTATTGAACGTCACTTGCCACGTGCACTCGTGCGTAGCGAGGAGAGTGCTGGAGCTCACAGTCACAGGACCAGTAATACCAGGAAGCTTGTTTAACTCTGATGCTATCGTTGTCGCGCCTTTCGTACAGTCTCCGTCGCCTGCTTTATCCAGATAAATTGGCCCAGTCTTCGAGACCGCCCCGCCCTCCGTATTGCTAGTGTACACCAGCTGAATAGCCGTCTGTTTCGACACTATCGAATCTCCACCTGTGGCTGTCGTATCCACTGTAGTCACCGCGATCTTCTGCACCTCGGGCTGTGTCGGCATGCATGCGCCGTTGTTCATCGGATTGGCAAAAATGGGATCGGTCGTAAGTGTCTGTCCTGCGAAGGTCGTCTGTAGCCGAAACGATGTCGTATCCTTCACGTTAGAGTTCGTTGTAGTCACCTGTATCTGCTGTACTTCCTGAACGGTTCCTGGACGTGTCCTCACGACGCGAACGCCCATAGACGGCCCCGCACCGTCCGTTCGTGTCTCTCCTAGTTTCGAGATGTCCGTGCCCAATTGAAGAAGGGATCCTTTCAGCGTAAGGAACGAAATGGTCCACGTATATCCTCCCTGTAGGTCCGGTTTCTCCGTGCGCACCACATCCAGAGTCCCAACTGTGCCCAATTTTTCCAGTTCACTTTTCATCGTGGCAGCGCTGCAGTCGAACGGTAGATCGCCTGTGGGGGCTAAATTGTAGCTCAACTGGAAGGATCCCTTCAGTTGGTTCCCTGCCGTCCGCTCTGTCACCACAGCGTTCGCTCCTGTGGCTTTTAATGATTTCGACGCTACTGTCATGAGCGGCAGGTCGCCCGAATTGGAGTCTCCTGTAAACGTGACGTCCCAGTAGTATCCGTGCTGTGCGTCCGGGCCGACGCGCGTGACATCCACAGACTCGATCGAGGCGAGATCTTCTAGCGCCTTCTGCATCCCAGCGTCGCTGATATCTGCCTCCAGATCCTTCGTCGTGCTTCCCATGAATCTCAACGTGAAAAAACCACCATCGATCACGTTGCCTTGTTTTGGTGTGTTTATCACCACGTTCGCGCCACTTCCCGTCAGGAAACTGCTCGAAAGCGTGAGCTGCGGCACGTCACCCATCGCCGTACTGAACGTGATGGTCCACGTGATGCCTCCCTGTGCGTCTGCCGTCGTCTTTTGCACACTCTGTACACCTGTCGGTCCTATATTCAACATGGAATTTAAAATCTCCATCACACCTGATCGATCTCCAGACGCGGGGGCATTGAACCCGATGACTCCAGACCGCTGTACGCTGCCACCGGTCTTTGTTGTGTCCAACTGGATGGTAAAGACCCCGCCCAGTGTCTCTCCTGGCGCCGCGCTCGTCGTGATCGTCTGTACTTCCGACACAGCCGTGGCGCTCGTGGTCACGCGCTGGATCTCCTTCACGCGCTTCGCGTATGTCTGCACAGTCTGCACCTCGTTCGCGCCGGTATTGGCCCTTGTCTGCACCACTTGCACTTCGCGAACACCCGGATCCGGGTCCCATTCCACCAAATACGCCGACACGGGCGAGCCGCCGTCCGTCGCGGGCGGTTCCCAAGCAAGAGCGAGTGCGTCGGGCCCCAGCACGTCCAGCGCCACGTTCAGCGGGACCGAGGGCACTGGCACGTCGGCGTGCGCGATGTGACTGGCACCCAGCGCGGCCCACGCGGCTGTTAGCAAGTGCCGCATGGCTGTCGTTGTCGTTGCCGTCTCCTGTGCTCTTGACGCGAAATCTTTTGCGAGACCTACGCAGGTGGTACGCGACGCTTCAGGATATGGCTACAGCTCGAGCATCGAAATCCACGAACACCGAAATCAATTCCAAAAAGGCGACAAGAGAGTAAACTAATGCAACTCATTTCCTGCAACGGCAGCTTATTCAATGCGTAGAACGCAGCGACCTACTTGAGGAGGTCCGTCATGATCAGACGCCGCGGAGGAGCTGTGGCTGGCGGAGCCGGGACCTCATCCAGAAAATCCTGCTCCGAATGAGGCAACCGGCAGGTGCTATATTATCTATCGTCGTCAGGGCTGTAAAAAAGAGGGGGGGTTGATTAATGGAATAATGGAATTTTTGGGTGAAACGCGTTGAATAAACCAAAAAGCTGCCTCCAACTTAAATATTGTACTGATAAAATCCATTTCAATTCACCCATCCACTGAGCTATTACCCACCCTTTAAACACGGGTTTTTAACAACTCTAATCATCGTGGTGCGGAATGAACTTTGCACGCGAAGGGTGTCTAACCTACAGTAGAACCAGCGCGATATCTCAGGTCGTGAAGCTGGCCCTGTTGGAGGTGTCCACGATTCCACACAATGTGCTCAGGTGAGGAGCTACTCGATAAGTGTCGTACACTTCGTTTGTGTTTAGGCATCAACGCTTGCCAAACGCGGTGACAACTCGCTGGTGTTTGCGCTTGCAACTCACAGTATCCCGACCAAGAAACTTTTTCATATCAATTGCAGGGCTGGAAGAAACTCTACCGGTAGAATCGATTGACACTCCTGTTTCAACAGCCTTTGCAGCTCGAGCATTCTCAACTTCACATTTTTTCGCCGTTCGATCAGCAAATAGCACCTTCCGCAGTCTTGCTTTGGTCGCCGAGCTTCCTGTTCCATCACGACTGGTACTTTTCCCCATGGGTAGTGCCCCTCCTGCCCCCGTCCGGCGCTCTGTCCAACGATAGTTGGGTGTCATGCTCATGCCCACATGCTTCCATCGCTGCTTCGCAGCTTGCACTGCCGCTACTCGTCGCTTCAGCTCTCGCGTCTGAAAGGCTAAAGGCTCCGTGTCAGGTCTTGGATACGCCACAAAAGGCGGGCTGGAGCGTCGAGGTTGCTTGGTATCCTGCCGTCTGCCGTCGTAATCTTCCACAGATTTATCCGCTTGTTCGCCCGGCTTCTTGCACTCGCAAGGCTGGAAGCGACAGCAAGCGCCGCTGCGGAGTCCAAGCGCTCCTGCACCACCAACAGCCGTCTTAACGATACGGTCAGCGTTGGACACAGCGTACGCTCCTGGTCCAGGGACAGAAGAATTCTTGTTCAGCCAGTAGCGCGCGTTCTTCTTGGGATTTCGACCCGAACCGAAGCTGCAGCCTCGAGTCGTCTTGGCCACTGCCACAGCTCCAGCTATTATGTCGTCCTGCTCGTCTCGAAGTAGTTTATCTATCTCCTGGAGTCTCTTACTCGCCTCTCTCCGCTGCTGCAGCCCTTCCAACGCTGTAAGGAGCACTCCATCGAGACATCGCATCGTCCTAAAGCAGACTTCCTGCTAAATACCAGCATGGAAACGGACAATGGAGTCATATATTTAAGCCGAAACAGCTTAACTATCCTTAAGCTACATAGGCCGGCAGCGCGGCGACAGCGCTGCCTTTGGCGTGGTCGATCTTGAGGTGTCGCCGCATCTGGCGGATAGCCCGGGCCGTCTCCTGCCAGGCCGCCGTGCGATCCTCACGTACGGACCCAGGGATATCGAACCGTTCTCGAACCGTTGAGCGCAGAATCGAGATGCGACGTACCAGCAGCAGCGAAGGAATGGCCGTTAGCACAAGCGATCCGAGAATCGACGCGATGCGAACCAGGACGCTGGTAGAGTCGCGATAGGCCTGAGAGTAAATCCACAGGGCCACAAAGACCCACAAACCCACGAGTGCCAGTGTCAACAGCCCGTACGCGGTCGTATACCAGCTTAGAGCTCCCGTGTACGAAGTGAGCCCAAGCCGAACCTCAATCTGCGCCAAAGGAATGCATGGACAACAGGCCTCGATGTTGACGTTGAAGGCGATGAAACCTTCAGGCTCCTCGGGTATCACGGGGCTCGACCATTGGCCCACCGTGATGCCATTAGCGTCCTGTCCTGGAGGGGCTTGCAGCTCCGGCCCACCATGCACTGTTTTCTCGGCCTTCGGCGCGGACATCGAATCTGTGGCAAAACTGATTCGCATCAAATATTTTGAGACAACCTAATTCTAATTGATTACAGCGAGGCAAAACTTTCGTGATTATTTTTTTTTTGCCTGCAGAGCAGACAGCCAAGATCATTGTGCGATAACACTAGGTGCCAAACAACACGACAAGCAGTCTTGGTGAGCAAGTTCCAAGGTTGGACGCGATATCTACAGTAATGCACAACCGTGGTTCTGTTTTCACCATGTGAACGATTGAAATATTGTTGTGCGCACCACAACGAGCGTCGTGGGTCTTTGTCAATGGCGTGTTATCTACTAGCACTGGCTGCGCGTCCTCAACGTTGTGCTGCTACACGAACAACATCATCTTCAGCAGTATTCCCGCATAAAAACAGAAGTCGATGAAAGAATCGAAGTATGAAGTCTAGTGTATTGAGGGTCAAGTAGCTGCTGTATTCGCTGTGAGTTAGTACGCACGACGAAGTGCTGCGCTACTCAGCCCGACATGAACAAAGATACAACAAGCTGTTTCCCGCCTCAAAACCTTGACGGAACTTCCTTCCGTTGCCGTCGATTGTCTCCAGAGCTAGCTGGAGGCGCTTAAGCGCGCAGGAAGCGCGCCGACTGCTGAGCAGTCTGCGTGTAGTCGTCGTCAGGGCTCTCCGCCGACGGGGTCTCAGGCTTGCCAGCGCCGGTCTTTCCCGTCTTGCCGGACTTGGTCGGCGTCGTCGGGGCAGGCGTGGTAGTGGCAGGGGTAGTAGTAGCCGGGGTCTCCGTCACAGGGGTCTCCGTGGCAGGGGACGAGCCCGAGCCGGACTGGTTAAATGCCGAGCCAGAGTTAGACTGAGCGGGGCTAGATCCAGAGCCCGAGGTGGACTTTTCAGTCGAGTGAGAACCCGCCTCCGAAGTAGGAGTGGTGGCGGCCGGGGTCGAGGTAGGCGTCTGCTGCTCAGGGTGCGAGCCCGAACCCGAAGTGGACTGAGCGGGCGAAGAACCAGAGCC